GGTAAATAAGAATTTGGGATACTTAACAATAATTCCTGACAAAGAAACTCATAATTTCAAAGAACTATCCAATACGAGTAGGAAAAAAATAAATGAAACCTTCTTTGAAAGAAAAGGATATTTACCAAAAAAACGAATCCAAGTTTTAAATTTTGTCCGAATCACCTATCTAGTTGTATTATACCCTATCTATTTATTCTTAATTTGATTTTTAGTTTGGATTTTGTTTTCAATAGGTTAGGTATATTTTTGGTAACCGTTATATTCAAATTGATTGAAAAATAAGTAGAGAAGATAAGGACCTTGTGCGCTCCATTCAAACATAAAGTTGAAAGCGTAACTCACGAACCACCCACTGGTCCACGCGGTTAATGCAACTATTGTTCCTGCTGAAACTTTTATATTTATTGGAAATATCTGCAGGAAAACAAAAAAAACAGTAAACATTTGTTCTAATTTTGTTGATTCTTTAAAAAAAAAAAATATTACTTACTTTTTCTTTGGGAATTATTATTACTTATTTTACTTCTCATGAATTTAAAATAAGTCATTTACCTCAGACATAATGACCCAAGGTAGCCCTCCCAAACCGATTGCATAACTTCCAAAGTAGACCTAACCAAAATATTCAATTGTATGTTAAGATTAATTCGTTATCATAAATTGATACCGACTCATGTATAAAATAAATGAATATTTTTACCAGAATAAATACGAAGACGAGAACTGGAGTTAATTCAGGAAGCAGATTCCTTCCCTGTTCATCCCCAATAAAACAAAAGAAAAAAGTCTTATCGAATGTTCTAAAAAATATTAGCTGAAAATTTTGTAACATCTAGTTATTAATATTTGTCATATTTTAATCATATAGAAGAGCAACCTGTAACGTGAAGCAAACCCCAATAAGTGCGGATCCGATGGACATTCCAGCAGCGGAAGCCTAGAATAATGTGAATAGTTAGACAGAAAATAGTATATGCTATTTTATGTAATTATATTAACTGAATATTTTTCTAACCAATAGGAGTGGTCGTCTTCCCCATCTATCCACTAGAACTACACCCATCAAGGCTTTTGGGATCTACAGAGCAATATATAAAACATCAAAAGTATCATCAAAATTTGAAAAAAATAAAATAAAAAGTATCATCATTGATAAAAATTAATCATAATTAAAAATAAAGAAAATTAATTATATGGTACGCACCACGAACACACCAAATATCATTGACCCAAGTCTCTCCGAAAAGCCTGTTTAGCAGAAGCAAAATCCAGATAATAAATACTAGGTAATATTTATATGAAAGTAATTAAAAATAATATCATAAATAAATAGTACTAAGAGTAAGGCTTTGAATATTCTAACCAACTTTTCGAAATATGGCATTTGAATAATACGTGATTCCAGTGGCTCCAGATAATTGTTGTAGGAACATTAAACCAATCCCAACCTGTATATTTTCAAAAATAAATTATTAATTTCATCAATTGTCAAATTATAGATAAATTAGTTTTTTCACTCTATATGTAACTATCTGTGTTACCGTACCACAAGAGTTCGTCTATACTTCTTCTGAAACATGTCACGGAAACTAGATTTCGAATCTTCTTCAATCATTTTTGTCATAACCTGAAAACAAATATAAAATAACGTTTTTATTTTTTTATCGA